ATGGTGGCATTTTGCCGAGGAAATGACAATTGAGCAGGCTGGTTTGGGGAAAGAAGATTTTATTATATTAGAGAGGGGTAAATGAAGAAACAAAAATGCCAGACTTTAGAGAGCTAGTCCTTCAATCAAAGGTAAAGATGGGGGCAATGCTAGGAGGGTGCTTGCTAGGAGCAGTAGAATATAAAATGATAAGACTAGTTTGAAACTAGTAACTTGCAAGAGGTAATGGCTGTTTCCCACATGGTTACAGTGTGTATATTAGAACTACCTTTTATAAGAACAGACATCTTCCAACTGCCATTTCTTTGATATAAAACAATGAAAATCCATTCAAGGGCTCATCTCTTTTAGTATTGAGTCAGGAGCCAGGAGTCCTGCTTATGGTTCATGCTTAAGAAGGAATTCTTTCTGGCCCTGACAGTTGAATAGACTACTTTTTACCAAAGTATCTGTCTTTTATAGGATCTTAATCCCCAAGCATGCTCCTGGGGGGGGGGGGGGAGAAAGCTCCATAATTGTGTTTGAAAACATCAAGAACTCTTTTATTTGGATATCAAAACTCATCGGCATGGCAAAGATATCCGTCTCATGGAACACTGAAACATCCCTGAGAGCTAAGGTTTGCCAAGCAAGGACTAAGCCAGAAAAAACCTGCTCCTAATTAAAAAAAAAATAACCTAGGGCTGTAGGTGTGGAGAACAAGCTAAGCCAAGCAGCCACACAAGGAATCCAAGGTCAAGAAAAAGAATAATAATTAAAAAGGATAATTAGAGAATTAGAAGTAAGTTCTAGGCAAATGAGATTGCAACCAGTTATGGGACACTGTGAGGAGCGAGTTCAAGACAGGTGGTTTGCAACAGGAGCCCAGACTGACATTCCCTCAGCCAGGTATGGTGTTAGTGAACTCCCTTTAGCTACCACAGTCCTCCGGCTGTGTCAAAGAAAAAGAAATGATTCTATTCAGAGTGTCTACTAGATTGAAAAATTTTGAACCTAGGCTAAGTGTTTACCTTTTCCCCAGGAATTTCAACTCCAGGAAAAATGAAGGATGATCTGGGACTTTTTCTGGATTTGAGGGCTGCGCCCAACTAAAGTAGATTCTGGGATAAGTCAGAAATCATGATTGTTTTCAGGATGAGCAGAATGAACCTGCTTTCCGAGTACTTGGCAAATGCCAACAGCCTGTAGAAATGCTGATTTTTTTTCCCTACTCAGTGTATGAAGTTTAAGTGCCATACCCACTGGAATGAGACCACTGCTAAGCAAAAGGGAGGTTACAGACTAGCTATAAAAATTGATCAGTTTTCCAAATCATTCCCATCCTTCTCTACTGGCTTGATCTTCACAAGAGTCCTGTGCTTGAAAGTGAGTTTTGTCTAATATTTTACACTTGCTAATATCACCAATATTCACAAAAACAGCACCAGAGACATGTTGCCGTTCGTTACTGGGATTGTCTCATTTTGTCCCCAGAGCAATTCTGTGAGTCAGGCATGCACTGTAATTTCTGTCATACAGCCAGTGGCACAAGATGATAGAGTAAAAAGTTATTGGTACCACTCAGGTCTAAACTCAGGTCTCTCAGAGTGGAGACACTAATATTCTATCATTGTTGACTTGCCAGAATCAGTTAAAAGATGACCCTGTAATTGCCACTCTGTGTGGCCCGACTCCTGACCGTCCCTGCCTAGTTTAATGCTTTCTCTGTGGTGACATGCTTCAAGTTCCTAGACCACTTACATTCAATTTATTCTCTCAACTCAGAAGAAACTCTCAGTTGAAGCAAGAGTAGGCGGCAAACAACCTAGATTGGGCCAAATCGGTCATCGTATAATCAAAATAACACTGTTGTGATTGCTTTCCTAAAGACCATGAACTAGAAATCTTTTTCACCCCCTTCCCTTCCTTTTTTTTTTTTTTTTTTTTTCAGATTTGGAAAAGCCACAGAAGATTTTGTACTGTAAAAATGACATAAACTTTAAATTTCAGTGTGTGGGTAAAAAAGTTTTGTGAGGACAGTTTCATTCATTTACCTGCTGTCTGTGTCTGCTTTTATGCCACCACACTTGAGTTAAATGGCTGCCAAAGAGGCCGAATGACCCATAGAGCTGGCTTCTTTCTAGTCCAGACTCTAAGAACAGCACGTAGGTTTTTTTTTTTTTTCCCGCAGAAGAACAGGAAGGAGTCAGAAGATACACATTTCCCACAATAAGCAGAGGGCATGCAAAAGCAGACTTAAACTTGGTTCTTAGCTCTGTCACAGAGGAGCAGCACGGGGGATTTTGCTGAAGCTGTCCAATTTCTCTGTGCTTCTGAAAACAACAACAGGGCCTCCCTTGAATTTCCGTTGCGAGTTTTCAGTGAAACACTGCATGCAGAGCATAAAGCAAGCAGCAGGAGCCGATTGGAAAATGCAATCCACGTGTCTGTCAGTGGCACTTCTGACCGGGTCCGTTTATCCAAGCATGTGCATGTCATATGATAGCAGCGATCTTTGGTGATGGTGGCGCATACGCCAAATGAAGTGAAACTGATGCCAACGAGGTTGGAAGGCAGGATAAAAACACATGGAGGAGCACGGGTGTTTTTCTCTAGGTGAGCAATGCAGCTTTTCCATGGTGATGGGTCAAGCCATTGTAGTCAGTGAAGCTCAGCTGGTCGACCCACCCTTAGCCGATATGACTGTCACTGACATCATTAATTAACTCAGAACACTACAAGGTGAATGAAGAATAACAAACAGAGCCCACAACTTCACCTCTTTTGTCAAAACTCCAGTTTACCCTAAATCTATCCTTATAAGGAAGAATTTAACAATTGTTTGTTCAATCGGAATGTCAGTTCTTGATGTTTTATCTTCTCTTCTGTACACACATAAGTGTGCACACACACACACACACACACTCCTCAAATAATTTTTGTGTTTTATCTTCTTTTAATCAGCACACTTTGTAAAGAAGATAGCTATCCTACTTAGTACACTCTGACCTAAGGCCTCCAGAGAGAATAGATCGCCAGAGCTTTCAAAGGACTGGGCTCATTCCTTTGGGACAGGGGCCAGGAATGCCAACAATCAGCAAGCATTTCTGTTTTATGCATTTCCTCTATTGTATATATCTAATTAGGGCTGTCCAGAATAGGAACCAAAAGCTACGGAGAAACCCTGTCTCGAAAATCAAAAAAAAAAAAAAAAAACCTTATTTCTGCTATTCTGTCTAATGTTCTCCCACTTTTCTGGAAGATAAACACCTCATGTTTTTGTTTCAGCTATGAAATGTTCTTCAACATGGATGTACTTTAGTCATTGATGCATTAGTGTAAGAAAAAAAGTCATCTTGCTGGTCCTTGTGCATTGTACACACACATTTCCCCCAGTCTCTCCTTTCCTTTATCCTTCTCCCTTTTCCCTCCCTTGTATTTTTCTTGTTATCCAACTTTTTCTATGTAGGATGGAAAAAAAAAATCCCTCTTCTTAGGAAGAAATTGCAGACGGAAGACCATCAGGCATGGGAGGGAGTTCATAGGGTAGTGGCACACTACTCAACAGTTAAATCTATAGAGGATATTTGCTTCAAAACTTGAATGCCATTGCTTGGTCCATAGGGTCACAGGGAGAAGTAGAGGAGACCCAGAGAAAGGTGAATTAATGTGGAGAGGAAAGAACCGCATGTCACATGTCACAGTCACCACAGCAAGTGTTAAGATCACTTTAGAAATAGGAAGCAGAGGCTCAGGGAGGGGGTAAACACCTAAAGCCTGGGATACAGATAACTCTGGGGCTGAGGGTGCATTGACTTCCCTGTTTTAGACTGACCTCATACATAGGACTGTCTGTGCACAGCACATCCTTCAGTGTAATCAAGAAGAGCTGCCTCATCTGGGTAGTGTAGCCAAAACACAGAGATGGGCAATGTTTTCTCTTTGAGCTACTGCTTCTGCACAGTTGCTGTAGACTCAAGAGGTCACCGGAGAGTGATAAATTCCAAACATTATCCTAAGAAGATAATCTGAGATTCACAATCCTAGCTTGGAGTGGAAAACCTGAGACTATTTGCTGTCTGAGTTACACTTTTGGTTCTCAGTACCTGAACAACCACACAGCCCAGGTCTGGGGCGCCAGGAGAGAACGCACTGAGTGGGTAGGCTTGATCCTCTGGTTTATATGCCCTGGCTCCTTTTTGATACACAGTGAGAGTTTGGAAAATTCTTTAGTGGTCACTGGATTCCAAATTGCAAAGGGTACAGACAGAGTGAGATATGTCCCAGTTCTTGCCCAACTCTAGGAGAATGTCTACATCCCATTTAAATACTTTTTATTTAATATTTAAATAAATTTTAATGAAATTTAGTTTTAATTAATATTTAAATGAAATTTAAATAAATTTCAGCAAAAATCTAGAGTTGGCATAATTTTCCCTGCTGAGTTTATTATCCTGCTTTCTTTCTCCCTTTCAGCTGTTTTTCTTCTTTTCTTCAGACTGTTTCCACACTCCTCAAGCTCCCCCTTTTGTTCTATTAAAAACAACTCTGGAACCCCAGAACTCCAAAATTATCTGCTAATGTTTCCAAAGCCACAGTCCTGGGTGCCCTTGCCTTGAAATGAACGGTGTGTGTACAGCTGGCTTCAACTAGTTCTTCCTATCTCCAGGTGAAGGTTTCCTAAGTTTTCTACTTTCTATTCCTTTTTTACTTTTCCTTCTTCTCTAGGGAGTGCAGAGATTAGGGGTAAATGTGTCCCCCGAACTGTCCCTGTTTCCCTCCAGATTCAGCTTTCCACACTGGCCTTCCCTGACAAATGCCAATATAAACTCTCACCAAAGCGTCTTGGAAAGGCATAGGACAGAAGCGTCTGGCTGTCTGGCTGGGGGAGTTTGTTTTATTGTGGCTTTTGGTCGGGTCAGAAATATTTCAGCCCGGAAGATATCATTCTAATAGGAAAATAACAATAGTACTCGATGAACAAATGGCAGCCACACAGCTGTCCCCGCGGCGATACTCACAGTTCAATGGCGTTCCGGGGGAGGTCGGATGGAATCTCCGTCACCTTGCTGTCTTGGCAGAGGAAGACTCTGTTAGAGCAATGACAGAGCCAGTGATGACATCCAGTTCCTGAGCCCAGGAGTGTCAGCAAGGAGACCAGGAGCAAGGCCATGCTTATGTATCCATCCACCTGTTTTCTTCCTGCACGGGCAGCGAAAACCTCCTCCACTCTGCCCGACAAGAGAGATCTGCCAGGAGAATAGGCGAAGTCACATGACCCACCAAGGGATGCTTTTTTTCTTAAATATTTTTTTGTCACTTGCAGGCAAGAAAAATTAATGTGTGTCAGTAGTGATTTCTGAGACAACTTAAGCTTCTCCCTTATCCTTCAAAACCTCTAGTTTTTATTCCTTGACCCAAGAATGACAGCCAATAGAACCTTGGTGCATGTTTAGAGTAATTCACAGTATTTTACTGCTCAAGGGTCCCTGCTAGCCACCACTGTCTTCCTCTCAGTAATGCAACTGACCCTCCCCGCAAAGGACAGCCATATGACACAGCTCTAAGAAGGGACAACACGAGGCAGACAGGACCTACCTTTCGTGTTTGGCATCATAGTATTCCTGTGACTTCCCTGATATAAACCACACATCTGGGCTGTAGTCATCGATGCTCTTTCTTACTTGATTAAAAACATGAATAAGCACTATGCACACTTCAGGGAGGTGGGTTAGCCAGCACTAGGTCCCTGCAGGTGGGAGGCATGTGTGATATGGTGTTCTCTGCAGAGACAATTTGCCCTGTGACCTTAGTCACGAGTGTCACATGACATGGTGTCCAGCCATGCATATGGTCTTTCTGGCTTCTCTTGTCTTTCCTTTCCAGACTCTGAAAACTATCCTTCCTTTTTGGGCAACTGGCACTAATAAATTTATCAAGACTGTACTTGTAATTTTAGGTGCTCCTTATGGGTGACACCCTTAATATTTGCAGTAGAATTTTCAGGTTCAGAAATAAGGGGCTTGAGAAATATTTGGTAAAAGCGAAGTGGCTTTCTACTTTCAACCCAGAGTCTATGGAGACTACAAGAATACACGTCTCAAAGATCATGTCTACAAGTTACTGCCTGCTAGAGTACCTTTAATACTATGTTTGCATACACCAAACTTTGTCTCATGAAAATGGTTACACACACCACACACACACACACACACACACACACACACACACACACACACACATCGTATCCTTTCTTCTATCTCAGTTTCCTGAGAAAAATAGAGGCAAGTGATTTAGGCAGGGTGGCTATGATCTTGCTTCCAATTAAATGACTCTAATTTTAAGATGTCAAGTTGTAGCAGTATTAATATGGGCCCTCTACTATTAACGATTTTGGCTAAGAACAGTTTAGAAATTTACTCAATAACTCATCCAATTATCATCTTGTAGGGCGGAATACAGTTCAGTCAATTAAGACTTGGGTTTATTTTAAAGTATGTCTGAAAAACTTCAGTGACAAGAAACTGTATCTGCCACAGCTCCCACTGGCCGGGAACCTCTCCTTAGATATTCAGTGGTGTACAGTTAGGACTAAATCAGTCTTTGTATAGTGAACTGAAATATTGTTAAAATTGAGATTTGATTTTTAAATGTCATATTGCAGTGACAGTGTAAAAATAATATACATAATAACATAAAAAACTCATTTTTTTGCGCGACAATAAACAGTGTGAGGTGAAGACACAAGAGATGACCAACTCTGCTGTATTGAGTTGATGGAGCATTTCTTATCAGTTTTTTACAACCGAATGCACAGAGGTGCATTAATCTGACTTTTGTGCTTCTCATTCTTTTTTTTTTTTTTTATAAAAGTTAATGTTGTTACCAAAAGTTTGTCATTTAATTTTCAATGTTTAGGAATTTATAGGAACTTGGTGAGTAGTTTTGTGCTAAGTGACATTCTACACTGGCTTGACATTCCAGAGAGTCAGCTGGGTAGTTAGTCATGTCACAAGTCATAAAAATAGTCTCCTAGAATTTTTTGTTTTTTTTTCTTTTCTAAAATGTTTTATAATTTTTTTCTTAAGCTTTTAGCCTTTGACTTATTTGGTTTTAACAATCGTGTATGATTGGAGTCAGAGATTCAGTTTCTGTATTTACTTAAGAGCATATTATTTATCACACAAATCAGCAATGGTGCTAGGAATATTTACTTAATAGATCCTTTTTTAATTTATAATTTATAAAGCTGTCTTCTTATAATTCAAGCAACTTTTATATGGGTCTGTGTGTCCTGGTACATATATATTATTGAAATTAGCATTCTACAATGTCCTAATTACTAAAAATTAAAAATAAACTTTAATAAATCATAAGAAATACTCTAGCCTAGTTCTTATAAGAGAATTGGGCCTAATTTTATCATTAAGAAAGAATTTTAGAGTTAATTTATTTGACTCCTTGAAAGAGAATTCTTATAAAAGTTTATTAGAAATTATGTTGATTAGCAGTTTTACCATATTTTTTCTACCTAAGATTATTGTGTGTTCTTCACGTTCTTAAAGGATTTCTTTGATGCTATTTTGTAAAATGTTACTCTGTTACCCACACATGTCTTAATATTTTAAACTTATTCCTAAATAATATGTCTTATATTATTATGGTACTGATAGTCAATCATGCTTTATGTTTATCTCTCTTTTTCAAAAAAAAACCAGATAACAAAATAAAAAGTGAACATCAAAAAAAAACAAAACAAAAACAAAAACAATAAGACAAAATAAGTCATAGCAAAACAAAAAAATCCGGCATGTTTCTTTGTGCTGGCCAACTCTTCCTGGGCAAGGACCTGCGCTGGAGTGTGATTGACACACACAGTGACACTCTATTAGAGGAGACTGATTTCCCTTTGCCAGTGAGTGTCAATTACAAATAGTACGATGATTTTCTTACTATAGTTCTGTAATACAACTTGAAATCTGGGTTGGTGATGCCTCCAGAATTTTTTTTTTATTATTCAAGATTGATTTAGCTATTATGCCTTCTGTGTTTCCAAATGAATTTGAAGATTATTTTTTCAATGTTGGAATTTTGATGGGAATTGCATTGAACCTACAGATTGTTTTTGTAGGATGGCCTTTTTCACAACATGAATCATATTAATACAGGAGTATGGGGGTTCTTTCCATCTTTTGGAGTGTTTTCAATTTCTTTCTTCAATGTCTTAAAGTTTTTATTAAACAAATCTTTTATTTTCTTGGTGAGAGTTATCTCAGGTTTTTTGTTAGGCTATTATCAAAGACACTGTTTCTTTGATTTTTTTCTCCACATCTTTGTCATTTGTATATAGAAAGGCTACTAATTTGTGTGTGTGTGTGTGTGTGTGTGTGTGTGTGTTAATTTGTTATCCTCCTGAAAATGTTTATCAATGATAGAAATTTCTTTGTGAAATCCTTAGGGTCTTTCATGTGTAAAATCTTATTGTTTGCAAATAAAGATACTTTGCTATATTACTTTACAATTTGTAACCCTCTGATCCCCGTCAGTTACTTATTGGTTTAGCTAAGACTTAATTACTATATTGAATAGATATGAAGAGAGTTGTTAGGAAAAAATCTTAAGAAGAGCCTCTCCACTGGCGCAAAGAACTCCAATAAAACCAAATTAGACTGAATCAAAACTGCCCACGTTTAATGAATGCTGCGCTCTCCGGTGGCTGGGAGCATGGCGAGAAATAGACAGAGAGGGAGAGCACACGCAAAACCTGAAACCACAGTTGCATGAGCCTAAACAGCTTGTGAGGGTGGTCCTGACCCTCCCTGGGAAAAGGTCAACATTTAGTGAGCTTTCCTGGAGGTGGAGTCCAGCCCAAGGCAACTCCCAGGGGAGCAGGGCTAAGAAGGAGCTTTCTGCTCCATTGGTGCCCCAAGAATGAATGCCAGAGGCTGGGGTGATGCCCCAACTTAATATTACAAGAGTGAACAGCTTTTTCTTGTTCCTGATTTTAGTGGAATTGCTTGGGTTCATTTGCTTGGAATACCATTTTGTATCCATCTACAATAACGTGATATCTATCTTTCATGGTGAGATGTGTTTCTTGGATGCAGCAAAACAATGGCTCATATTTTCTTTTTTAATCTGTCAGTCTGTGATTTTCGGAAAGGTGGGTGAGAATTGAGATCATTCACATTGAGAGTTAATGAGCAGTGTTACTGATTCCTATTATTTTACTGTTGTGTGGGATTCCCCACCCTTTGATTGACTGTTCTTGAATAATTTATTTCTTGTGTCATCTTGAGTGCATTTCTTTACATTGAGTTAACTTGAGTTCTTTACATTGAGGTTTTCCTTCTAGTACCTTCTGTAGAGCTGGATTGGTAGATAGAAAATTGCTTGAATTTGATTTTATTGTATAATGTTCTCTTCTTCTCTTTCTCCTCCTCCTCCTTCTTCATCATTTGTGATCGATACTTTGCTCAGTACAGTAGTCTGGGCTGGCATCTATGAAAGTGGTATCTTTCATAGCTTGTAGAGCATCATTACAGGTCCTGGCTGTCAGAATTGCCACTGAGAAGTAAGGTGTTATTCTTATAGGCCTGCCTTCATAAGTGTCTTGGTCTTTTTCCCCTGCAGCTGTAAGTGTCCTTTCTTCAGTCTGTACATTTAATGTTTTGATTGTTATATGCCCTTGGAACTTCCTTTTCTGATCCTGTCTATTTTGTCTTCTGTATGCTTGATGTACCTTGGTAGTCATCTTGTTCTTTATGTTGAAGAAATTTTCTTCTATGATTTTGTTAAAAATATTTTCTGACATTTGACCTGAGTTCCTTCTTTAACCTCTATACCTATTATTCTTAGGTTTGATCTTTTTATAGTTTCCTGGATTTCCTGAATATTTTGTGCCTGGATTTAAAAAGTATTTCCCATTTTCTTTGACTGGGATATCTATTTCTCCTAGGTTGTTGTTAAGATCTGAAATCCTCTCTTCTACAGCTCTTATTCTTTTAGTGAGTCTTACCTGTAAGGTTTTTGTTTGACATCTTATGTTCTTCATTTCTAGTTTTATTTCAGTTTGGGTTTTCTTTAGTGATTCTATTTCTTTGTCAAATTCTGCTTTCTTGTGTTGTATTGTTTTCATTATTTCATTTTACTGTTTGTGTTTTCACAGTCTTCGTTAAGGCATCTGTCCAGTTCCCTGTAAGGTTCTTGAACATATTCATCATGGCTACTCTGAAGTCC